CCGGCTAATTTTTTGATTTATTGTAGAGATGAAGTCTCGCCAAGTTGCCCGGGCAGGTCTTGAACCCGCGGGCGCAGGCAATCCACTCACCTCGGTCTCCCAGTGTGCTGGGATTACAGACTGAGCCACCGAGCCCAGCTCCTCCCCCAGGATTTCTGCTGTGCCAGGGTGTCCCCCTCCTGGCCACCCTGGCTAGGTGCGAGACAGGAGGGAGTCACTCACCTGCCATGGGCTCTGATGTCTTTTGGGACTTGCGCCCGCTCAACTCCAGGAAGGAGTTGAGCCACGAGGATGCGCCCAGGCGGAGGTCTCGAAGGAGCAGGGCTGTGTCCCGCCGAACCAGTCCCATCATACCCAGTGCCTTCTGGTCTGAGTTGGAGTGGTCCTCTGTCTCTGCACCTGCAAAGTGTATGAGCGGGGCTGAGTTGGTCTCCTCTCTTTCTGGGCCCAGTCTTAACACCCAGAACTTTAGACATCTGTGCCCCCAGGGACCCAAGAATATCTGATGGCTTCAAAAGGAACAAGAAGGCCAGGTGTGGTGACTTAAGCCCGTAATCCCAGCACTTTGGGAGGCCGAGGCAAGAGGATTGCTTAAGGTCAGGGGTTCGAGACCAGCCTGGGCAACTTGGCGAGACCTCATCTCTATAAGAAAGAAAGAAAAAAAAAAAATCCAGATTCGGTGACTCAGCTTGTAATCCCAGCATTTTGGGAGGCTGAGGCAAGTGGATTGACTGAGCCTGTGGGTTTGAGACTAGCCTGGACAACTTGGGAGACCTTGTCTCTACAATAAATAAAAAATTAGCCGGGTGTGGTAGTGCATGCCTAAGTAGTTCTGGCTACTTAGAAGGCTGAAGCAGAAGGATCGCAGGAACCTAGCAGGCTGACACTGGGGTGGCCCTGAGTGTGCCACTGTACTCCAGCCTGGGCGACAGAGACACCAACTCAAAAAAAAAAATTAGCTGGGCATGGTAGTGCGTGCCTATAGTTGCAGTTACTTGGAAAGCTGAGGCAGAAGGATCCTCTGAGCCCAGCAGGTCGAGGCTGTTGTGGCCGTGAGCATGCCACTGCACTCCAGCCTGGGTGACAGAGTGAGACTCTAACTCAAAAAAAGAAAAAGGAACAAGTCTGATTCCTCTGCCTGGTCCCTCCTTTCTCAGTCCCAAGGAATCCCTGTCCCTGCAGGACCTGGGCATCTAAACACCCCCTGTTCCCCTACTGTGTGTAGGTGGGCCTCACCCGCATAGGCGCTGACACATTTAGAGAGCACGCTGAGGGGCAGCAGGGGGTCCATGAGGCTCAGAAGGCGAGAGGGAGAGGCGGCAGACTGCAGCATTGTGGCTGGGTAGGCTGCCATGATGCCATCTGGCACCCGTATCCCATAGGCTGCTGCTCGAAGGGACACAGTGAAGCAGAGGTTCCCACCTGCACTGTCCCCAGCAAGGCATATTCGTTCCCCTGTTGAGCCTGATTGGGGAGATGGGAGGAGACTTGGTCACAGCTGGGCAGGGGCAGACTGGGGTGGGAAGGGAGGAACTCCAGCTCTGGGCTAGGAGAACTGGGCTCTCAGCTGGGGCATGAGGTTCCCCAAAGTCTAGCAGAATGCAATTTTAGATACTGGTAAACTGAGGCAGGGATCTGGGCCCATGTGGTAAAGGACCCGGAACAAAAAAAGAACAGATGACTCAGGCTGCTCGTCACCTGGTCAGAGGCTAGGAAGAGGGTATGTTCTAAGAGGGAGGATTGATGGGGAGATGAGGAATGTGCTTGAAAGGCCCAAGGGTCAGGAAGCTCTGGGAAAGTCTGGGAGGCTGGAGGTCAGCAGCAAGGAGGGTAGGTGATCAGAAAGGGGACCTCAGGGGCCTGCTGCAGGAGGGAGGGCCTCAGAGGGTGGGAATGGAAGGTCGGCATTCAGGCTGACAGCACAGACAGAGTGGGCCACAGGCCCTGTGCCCTAGGGCATGGCCACACCCTGCTCTATGCCCCGATGTCCTCCCAAGGTGTTGGTATTCAAAGAGGGAGGTCAGAGGAACTGGATCATGGGCTGGGAGGCTGGCAGTGCAGGAGAGCAGGGTCTGGGCCCTGAGAGGGGAAGCAGAGGCCTGAGGAGACAGGAGGGTGGGCAGGAAGTGGACTATAGTGGATGAGGGGGTGGAGGAGATGGAAGATTGGGGCAGGACCAGGGTGAACAGGTGGCAGGAGATGGGAGAAGGGAAGTGGGAAAAGTGAGGGCAGAAGGTACAAGGCCAAGACTTGAGCTGGAAGGAGATTGGGGCAGGAATGGGAGCATGGTGGGTAGTCATGAGGTGCTGGGGCTCACCAAGGAGGGCACAGTTCTTGATGGCCCAGCAGTAGGCAAAGAAGCACTCCTCCAGCGCGCGGGGGAAGGGAGCCTCAGGGGCCAGGGAGTAGTCAATAGAGACGATGGGGGCGCCCAGCTCCTGGGCCCAGCTCTTGAGGTAAGGTTCGTGGGATTTGGAGGTCTGGGCCACAAAGCCGCCGCCGTGGAAGTGTATTACCAGGGCCCTCGAGCGGGGCACCTGATGGGGGCGCGGCCACAGCTCCAGGCTCCGCTGGCCCTCGGCCTTCACCAGGCTGCTGAGTTCCTCACTGTCCTGGGGGGTGAGGGGGGAGGAGGTAGGTGAGCTGGGCTGGCCTGCCTGGGCCACATCCCTCCAAGGGGATAAGCCAGAGAGAGGCTTGGTGTGGGGGGCTGCCCACGTTCTCAGCTCTGGCTCTGTTCCAGGCCGAGGCTGTGGCCCTACCTGTCCTTCACGAAGGTCATAGGAGATGAGCCTGACGAGGACAGGCCCGGGTCCTGTGTGGGCCAGTGGGGGTGAGATGGTGACTGTGAGTGTGGGGTCGGCAATCAGCGGCATCTCAAAGGCCTTGGGCGGCAGGCTGAGCAGGCGGCTTACTTTCACGGTGGCTGACGCCATGTTGGCCAGAGACTGTTGAGAGGGAACAGAAGGGGTGCTGGGGAGCGGATGCCTGTGTGCCCCTCACTGCCAGTCTTTCCCCTCATGCACTATCCCTGGGCCTAGAGCCCTGCAGAGACCTGCTGTGGCCTCGGATGGGTCTCTGGGCCTCAGTGTTACCATCTATAGTGGTCCTCTTTGGGCCCAAAGCTCACCGATAGCACCTCAATCTCAGTGATATTCCAGAAGGCTTTCCAGAAGTGCACGTCGAGGTTCTGTATGACCCGCTCAAACTCGGCCCCACGTAGCTCTGGGTCAATGGCAAAGCGGCCACTGGTGAAGAGGGAGCTGGCAGTCACACCTGGGGGTCAAAACAGATGTCAGGGGGCCCGGTGGGTACTCAGGCAGGGGTAGGGAAGGGGACCTGAGGGACGGCTGCAGGCAGGGCCCAGCTGGGACTCACCTAGGCCTGTCTCATTGCGTTTGTAGTGCTCCCCAAAGGACACCAGCCCGATGGAGATGGTCTGCAGGAATGGCCGGATGGCAGGTGTAAACTGTAGACAGATGGGGACAGGGCAGGAGTAAGAGCCAGGGATGTGTGGAAAAGACATTTATTCAGTAAACATTTCATGAGCTCCTACTGTGGTGCTAGGCATGGCTCTAGGCCCCTTCATGGACCTGATATTCTTGAAGGGAAGACAGATGATCAGCAAATAAACAAAGCCACATGCAGTATAATGTCAAAGGAAGATGAATGATTTTAAGAAAGAGGTGGGAGGACACAGAGTGATGACTAGAGGTTGGGCTACTTAGATAGTCTCTGAGGAGGGATCTGAATGAAATGAGGGAAGGGTGTTCCTTGCAGAAAGCACAGCAAGCATAAAGGCTTAGAGGTGGGCCTGTGCTGTGCTTGACGTGGGTAGCGAAAGAAAGAGGCCAGTGTGGCTGGAGCAGAGTGACTGGGGTAGGAGGTAAGGCTAGAGAGGAAAAGGGGTTCGTCTAGGGCCTAGGCTGAGGAATTTGGATGTCATTCTTAGTGTGGGGAGGAGACACTAGTGGGCTTTGAGCTGGAAAGTAAGATGGTGAAGGACTTCCCAAAAGTCAGAGAGAGATGAGCCGCAGGAAGACAAACAGGAAAATGGTCAGAGTACAGAGATCTGAGGCAGAAAGATAGCTAGAGGGGGAACCTGAGGACTAGAGAGGAGAACAGGTACCCACTGCGGAGAAATGGGGAGACACTGCGGGTGAGACAGCAGACAGACAGTAAAGACAAGGCGATGGGAGACAGGATCAGAGGAAACGAAGCCAAAGGAGGCTGAGGCAAGGGCCAGAGGGGTCTGTTCAGTAGGTCAAGGCCCTATGTATGCTCGACACTGGGCTGGAGCAGTGACTGAGATAGGGGAGGGCTCTGCCCACCTGGGGGCTGACATTTTATAGAGGGGAGACTGTTCTGCAGTATCAGAGCTGGGCCCTGCCCCTGGCCAGGGGCCCAGTAGGCCAGAGAGCACAGGGATGCCTGGCCATTGTAGTTGGAATGCTGGCTCAGGCTGCCCTGGGATCTCTGGGATCTCTTTCTCGTGACTCTAAGGTCATAGCTGGGACACAGGGAGGAGCTGGCTGGCCCAGCTAGATTGATCAATATTTGTGGGTTCAGCCTGGGTAAAGGGAGGTTTCCAGAAACGCCCGGCCTGGGTTGCTGAGGACAGGCTGGCTAACAGGGCAGGATGGGGAGGTAGGGTGGGAGAAGGAAGCTGAGGGACTGTCAAGCTCAACTGTCACTGAGGTGGGGAGAAGCCCAGACAGGGCTGGAAAGTCTACAGGGTCACACAGCTCCAGATACTCCTGCTGGAGTTCCCTGTTGCAGCTGGGGACTGGGGGACCCGGCACTGACTCCAACAAGGCCTCTGCTCTGAGCCTGTTGCCTCAAGACCCTAAATTCTGAGTCCCCAAACCACTTTTTACACAAGTTTGAGGGCCTTTGGGCTGCCTCTCTTGCAGTGTGTTGATGAGCTGTTTCTCTGAGGGTGGTCTGGGATGGGCAGAGGGCAGGAGAAGATCTACAGCTGGGAAGGATGCCTAGTTCAGAGAGGAGAGAGGCCACAACCCAACCAGGTCTTCTACACTGTCACCAACTCTGATGGACTCATTGGCCCTCTCCACAGCCTGAACCTCCTGTGATTCCACAACTCCCTAAGTGAGTCAAAAACCTCCCTCCCTCCTTCCCCAGTGGGGATACCTGACTGGGACATGCTACAGAGTAGGCCTCTGAGAATAACACCTCCTTCCTAGGGTTCTCAAATGAAACTGACTTCAGGGACCAGACAGGTAACATAAAAGAGTGAATGAATCTCCTGAGTTAGGACAATAGAGAATAGTGGATATCTCATGAAAAAAAGCTATGCAAATTAAAGATTTCTTACTATGATTTGGCCCAAGGGCCATGAATTTGAGACCCCTGGTGCATCTTTGTCTGCGCTACAGCCAATTTCCCCTTTCTTTTTTTTTTACATTTTCTAAATTTATTTATTTATTTATTTTTTCATTTTTTTAATCAATATTTTTTATTATGATTTTGTGGGGTACAGTTAAGGGTTAGGTGTACAATTATGTTTCATTCAGGCACCCTGTTGATAAGAGGTATTTCCCCATCCCCAGACAGATATTTGCGACTGTTAATCCCATCCCCCTCCCCCCAATTTCCCCTTTCTGTATCTGCTGTTTTCTGAAGCCAACAATAGTGACCACTGTGGTTATTTTACCATATGATTGGGCCAGGCTAGGGGCCTTCTCTCTGGGTCCAGAGGGGCACAGGGCAGGCAGGGGGCTCACCTGGAAGCCCAGGCAGCGGCCATAGAAGCATCCCTTATGCAGAGTGACATACTCCCGCAGGAAGTCAGCGGTGAGCCCCTCGTCGCCCTCGAAGAAGAGCCGCCCAGGCTGGTTGGTGGCCAGCAGGCGCTGGGCATAGTAGGTCAGCGCGCGGAGCTGGGTGAGGGCAGCCAGGTAGGCCTCCAGTTCGGCCAGATTGTGGCTGGTGCGGAAGAAGATGCTGCGGCGGTTGGAGGCCACATAGCGGGATTTGTGCAGTAGATGTGCCAGGCAGCAGCGGGCTGTGTGCACCAGGCTGCGGAATCCATTGGCTGGTGTCTCTGCATCCAGGTCAAAGAGGTGAGCCACGCTCAGTAGGCAGACCAGGGCCGGCTCCAGCCCCAGCGCTTGCTCCCGCACACCGGCAAAGACACTCGACAGCCTCTGCGCTGTCTCCCCAGGGCCCTGGCTGGAGAAGAAGGCCATGTTGTCCTCTGCCAGAGTCACCAGCGACTGTGTCATTGTGCGCAGGTCCATGCTGTGTATGAGCCTTGAGGCTGTGGGCAGGTGAGGAGGCCTATTAGGCAGGGCTGGATGACTCCTTGCTTAGAGGGGGCCCAGGAGTAGACCCAAATGTCAGACCCCAGCCTCTCTTCCTTCAGTCCCATTGCCAAGGACCTTAGGTTCTTCCTTTCCTTAGGCCCAAGAGGCCATCGCCTTTCCTCCAGGACTCAGGAGGCTGGGGCCACATCCCCTTCCTTCTTTAGGACCCATGAGTGCCCAGTGCCTTTCTCCCTTCTCGGAGCTGGGAGTTCAAGCCCTCAGCTCCCCACTTCCCTCAGACCTAGAAGTCCAGGCCCCCAACCTCTCATCCTTCAGACCCAGGAGAGTCCAGGCCCCCAGCCCTTTTTCGGAAACCAGAAGCCCCTGCTCTCACGTATTCAGGACTCAGAAACTTGCCATCCCTGGCCTTCTCCTCTCTCCTGGACCCAGGAATCCAGACATTCTCTGGAGCCCACAAGACTAGTTCCCTATCTCCTGCATCTCTCTTATGTCCCAAGAGTTCACCTATCCTTCTTTCTTCCTTCCAGGGACCCAAGAGTTCAGGCACCTGTCTCCATGTACTCTCCTATGTTCCAAGAAGTCTAGACCCCCAGTTGGTCACCTCTCTCAGGACCCAGGAGGCCAGAGCCCCATCCTATCTTTCCTTCTTTGGCCCAGGTGCTACGCACAAGTTTGTCCCCTCCAACAATATTTGAGAGAGTTCAGCCCCCAGCCCACCCATTCCCATCCCCAGGACCCAGGTCCTCAAGCCCAACTTTCTTCCTGAACCTAGGGGTTCATAATTCTAGCTTTACTTCACTGAGAAGTCACTCCTGATCCTTCAAGTCTGACTCTGGAACCCCATCCAAATTCCAGTTCCCTCCCTGCTCCTCTATGGGAATCCCCAAACTCAGTCTCACTCCCCTCCCCCTCACCACCCCCGGCTGTGTTCCCTAGCCTTCAAGCATGTTCACTTGTCTTGGATTCAGGGCCCACCCCCTCCCATCTGGAACAGCAGTCCTCATCGCTGCATTGACCTCTGTGCCAGATCCCAAGCCGAGAGCTTTCTGTGCATTTGGTCATTTAGAGCACTAACCCTGAGACCCACAATGCCTGGGTTCAAATCTCTATTATTGCTAGCATCCCCATTTTACAGAGAAAATATTGAGGCTCAGAAGTTAAGGTTGCAGTTCAAGTGGCACAGCCTATTCAAACCTAGATCTCGGTCCAGAGCTATATACCGGGCTTCCTCCCGGGACTCTGGAGGGTGGACCTGTAGCTCTGGCTTTCAGAAACTTGCCCTGGACTATGTCTGACTCCCCATATGACTGGGTCCCCGGTGAGCTTTCTTCCACGATTCCTGTCCCTCCCGGGCACTCAGGCCACTTTCTTTCTTGAATGCCCTGTCACTCAGGTCTGGATAAGCTGCCCTTGTCCCTCTTGGTGATGCTACCATCTGCCCCAGGGACTCTTCCCTCCAAAGCCTAGCACCTTGCCTCTTCCCCTGTTCCCCAAGAAGAAAGTGTCTTCTCCCTTCTAGGCTCTGGGGTCTAGCAGCCGCTATTCCTGTCTCCCAGCTGGCTGTGCACTCACCCCTCCCAGGCCTCTTCTGAGTTCCCCAGGACTGGGACTGCTGGTCTGTGGCGCTGCCAGTAGCAGCCTAGGGCGATAAACTGGGGGAGGGACTGGCATGTCCAGGGTGTGGCCACTGAGCCACCTCCCACCCTGAAAGGACAGTGAAGTCTGAGTGCTGTAAACAGAGTACAGAGCCCAACTCCCTCCCCCCTCCCTGTAACTCCCAGTCCCCGCTTAGCTGGAAGTCCTTGTCCCACGCTCCTCTGCCTAAGAACCCAGGAGTTCTGACCCCAGCCCCCTCCTCCCTCAGACACAGAAGCCCAGGCCCCAGCGCCCTCCTCCTTCAGACCCAGGGGTCTAGATCCCCAAGCCCCTCCTCCCCTCAGACCCAAGAGTCTAGGCCCCAGTTCTGAAAAAACTGTCCCCTCTCACCCAGCCAGGCTGTCTTCTTTCTCCCCCAGTGGACTCAGGGAGCCAAAGGCCCAGTGATCTCAGCTCCCGCCCCTAGTCTGGCCCTGGCACAGCCGGCCCCCAGCTGTTGGCTGAAGAGAGGAGGTAGCCAGCCCTGCCTGTCCCTCCTGGGAGAACAAAAGCCGATTAAGGGCAGTGCCAAGCTCAGCTAGGGCCTGAGTCACAGGTCCTACTGGGTGGTGTGCCCACACTGGGCACCCTGGGTCTGCCACTTACCCTTCACTGCCCACCCTGCTGTGACTGCCATCCCCACCTCACGCATGGGGAAATAGAGGCTCAGAGAGATACTTCACCATGTTAATCCACACGCTCCTATTCTGGCTGGTTCCTTCTCACCCTTCAAACCTTAGCTTGTCACCTCAAAGAACTACTCCCCAACTGCTCCTCCCTGTCTAAGATATGACCCTCCACATTATTTTTCTGCCAGAATATTTTATTCTGTTCCTTTCTAGCATTCAACACTTTTTACATTCATACATGTATTTGTTTAAATATTTGTTATTCATCTCTTCATCTCCCCCGAGACATGATCAGATTTCTTTTTTCTTTTTCTTTTTTTTTTTTGAGACAGTCTCATTGTTTCACCCAGGCCGGAGTGCAGTGGCACACTCATGGTCACCACAGCCTCGACCTGCAGTGCTCACCTCGATCCTTCCACCTCAGCCTTCTAAGTAGCTAGAACTACAGGCATGCACCACCACACCTGGCTGATTTTTTGATTTATTGTAGAGATGATGTCTCGCCACATTGCCCAGGATGATCTCGAACCTGTGGGCTCAGGCAATCCTCTTGCCTCCACCTCCTAAAGTGCTGTGATTATACGTGTGAGCCTTTTTTTTAGTCAGAGTCTAGACTGGAGTACAGTGGCATGTTACAGCCACTGCAGCCTCCACCTGCTAGGCTCAGGTGAGCCTTCTGCCTTAGCCTTCCAAGTAGCTGGAACGACAGGTGCGCACCACCACACCCGCCTAATTTTTTGATTTATTGTAGAGACAAAATCTCGCCAAGTTGCCTAGGCTGGTCTTGAACCCCTGAGTTCAGGCAATCCTCTTGCCTCCGCCTCCCAAAGTGCTGGGATTACAGATGTGAGCTACTGTGCCTGACCAGAACAAAGTTTTATGGAGCCATGAAGCTTATAAGGTATGGGGTGAAAGGTATTCTTTAGGAAGAGGAATACAACATTACAAATACAAAATTAGGTTCAGAGCCTTGGAAGAGACTTGTGCAAATGACAGGCCTGAGGTCTGAGTCATTTGCTTGGCTAGAGACAATCCTCTGTCTCTCTCCCTTGGACTGTCACACCCTTGAGGGCAGAGGGTGGTCCCAGGGCCTATCATGACATGGGTAGTAGGTGCTCAGCAAATATCTGAAGCAGGAAGAAAGAGGCAGAGTGCAGGCAGAGAGGCTGGATGGGAGCTTAGGAGAAGACTGCCCTGCCCCAGGGCAGGTGGACAGATGGACAGACTGAGGCCTCAGGAGGCAGCTCTAAGCTGTCAGCTGTGAAAATGGAATGCTCTCAGCCTATAATCCCAGCACTTTGGGAGGCCAAGGTGAGTGGATTGTCTGAGCCCTTAGGTTTGAGACCAGCCTGGGCAATTTGGTGAGACCTCGTCTCTACAATAAATCAAAAGTTAGCCGGGTGTGGTAGTGTGCACCTGTAGTTCTGGTTACTTGGAAGGTTAAGGTAGAAGGATTGCCAAAGCCCTGCAGGTTGATGCTGGGGTGGCTGTGAGTGTGCCATGGCACTCCAGCCTGGACAACAGAGTGAGACACCAACTCAAAAAAAAACAAAAGAAAATGGAACGCTGGTTCAAGTCACTCGCCAGGTGGGCTGGGATGAGTTTGGTTTCCTCATCTGGAAACTGTACTTGGCCACTGTGCCCACTAAGAGTGGGAGACGTGCTTTGTAAGTGGTCCGCATGGGTGGTATTTTCTGTATATAGTTTTCTTTGTGGGCTCACTGGGCCTCACTGAAATGGTGTATTAGTTTTCTCTGTGGCACTTATCATCATCTCACATATTATACAGTTTACTGCAAGAGTAACTCACTTTATTGTGCTTCACAGATAATGCGACTTACAAATTGAAGGTCTGAGTCGGGCGTGGTGGCTCATACCTGTAATCCCAGCACTTTGGGAGGCAGAGGCAAGAGGATTGCCTGAGTCCAGGGGTTCGAAACTAGCCTGGGCAACTTGGCGAGAACTTGTCTCTACAATAAATAACAAAATTAGCCAGGTGTGGTGGTATATGCCTGTGGCCCCAGCTACCTAGAAAGCTGAGGCAGAAGGATCGCCTGAGCCCTGCAGGTCGAGGCTACAGTGGCTGTGAGCCTGCCACCTGGGCAACAGTAAGGCTCTGACTTAAAAAATAAAGAATTGAAGGTCTGTGGTAACCCCGTTTGAGCAAGTGTATTGAGCCATTTTCCCAACAGTATGTGCTTACTTCATGTTTCTGTGTCACATTTTGGTGGTTCTTGCAATATTGCAAACTTTTTCATTGTTATTAATATCTGTTACAGAGATCTGTGATCTTTGATCTCTGATGTTACCATTGTAATTGTTTTGGGGCCCTACCAACTATGCCCATATGAGAGGGTAAACCTAATTGCTTAAATGTCCTGTATGTCCTGACTGCTTTGCTGACCGGCCGTTTCCCATCTCTCTCCCTTTCCTCGAGCCTCCATATTTCCCGAGACACACAACATTGAAACTAGGTCAGTTAATAACTCTACAATAGCCTCTAAGTGTTCAAGTGAAAGTAAGAGTAGCACACCTCTCACTTTAAGTCCAAAGCTAGAAATGATTAAGCTTAGTGAGGAAAGCCAAAAGCTAGGCCTCTGTGCCAAACAGGTCGCCAAGTTGTGGAATCAAAGAAAAAGTTTCTGAAGGAAGTTAAAAGTGCTGCTCTGGTGAACAAATGAGAGGTAAAACAAAACAGCCTCATTGCTGATATGGAGAATATTTTAGTG